TTACAATCCCGCGCATGGAAAGAAACTTCAAAATCCAGACTTTTCATACAAGTATTTTAAGTATGCCGAATACATTGAGGCATGGCACAAATTTTTCTATTATCAAAATCCTAATTATACTCATAGCTGGTATATCCAGTTTAGATTACATATTTTAGAACGCTTTCCCACCTGGTTCAAAAACTGGTTTTTTGTGTGGGGATCAACTGTTCAAATTTTACCACCTGCATTCAAAATAGTGCAGGACAAATTCCAAGCCTATAACCAGACTGATAACACCATAGACAATCACCTCTATTTTATGGCCTTCTACCAAATACCTTGGATAATGAAATGGGAGTACACCATCTCCCCTGATACCACCTCTGATTACACCTATATACCTAGACTTGGAAAGACCATTTCCGTTAAATGGTGGGACATCTTTAATATGGACCCATCCTCACTTACTCCAAAAGAATTCCTCCAAAACCCCTGGATAAAACCCAAAGCCAGAATACAGCCAATACTTCTTTTGATTTTCCCACATACCTAAGAAATATGTTGCAAGTAAACCCTAATGCCTCAAAAGAGACATTAGAAAACCAGATGAAAGAAATATTTGCTGAGGCAGGGAGAAAGCCAGTCTCCTCTGACGAAACAGTACAATCCTCTCCCTTGCATATTAATCAATACCTCAATCTCCCAATAGAAGATCCGGAAGAAACTGACCCAGACGAAGATGAAAACGATCCGGATGAGTTCAGTCAACGACCATAGATCACCACCAATACAAAAGAAGATCATCACCGACATAAAGATCACCACCAATACAGAAGAAGATCGTCACCGACATAAAGATTCCCTTCCAATCTCATCACCGACAAACCACTGCATAAAGACCGTACAAAGATTCTGCACCGACACAAAAGGACAAGAAAAACTGTGGCACCGACACAACAGGACAAAACAAGCACTGTGCCAGATGCTTTTACTGTGGCCATTAACAGAAAAAACAAAAAAATACTGTAGCAAGATGCTTTTCCTTTTGTCGTTTTTTATTTTATGTCACCTCACTTACCTTTACGTCTCGTCCTCTTTTACTTTACCTTTATGTCCCCTCTTCTTTGCTTCGAGCCGAAGGAACCTCCTCTATATAAGGGCAACCTCCTCCTTCTTCAACCAAGGTCGAATTCTCCCTCTCTCTCTAAGGCTTTCCTCAAGCCTCTCTAAGTTCTCTTCTCTCCTCTCTCTGAGTTCCTCTTCTTCTCTCCTCTCTCTGAGTTCATCTTCTCTCTTTGAGTTCATCCTCTCTGAGAAAAGTTACTCTTTCTCTTAATCCTTCTTCATCCAGACAGACCAGAACATATCCAATATCAGCTACTATGACCTCGTAGCCAAAATATTCCAGGTTCAATAATCTCTCCTCTTCTGAATATGTGTGACTGCAATTTTCATTCTCTTCCTACATACTGCCCAGAAAACTGGAAGTTATTTTCCAGCTATTGTATATGCACCCAGTGAGTCTTTCATAAACATTTTACTTTCTGTTTATCTCTCTACCTCTGAGTCCTCTGTTTGCTTCCTGCTTTACCATTTTCATATAGTGTTTTCCTATATAAGTGTGCTACCAGTATGTGCTTTATCTTGTAAATGTAAACAGTGTGCTACAAGTTTGAATAAAGTGTTGTTATGAATATTTGATTATGCAAATATTTCATTATGCAGTTTAAAATATTATTCAGTGTAAAAATTAGAGAATTTACCTACGCACAGTGGTTAGTAATAGATGTTTCTATTATTCCCTTTGTTTGCTTAATATTATTTGTATTTAACTATTATAGGATTTTGCAAGAATTAATAAGATATAATAGCATCTTATTCGCTTATTTACTCTGAAACAAGTTAAAATTATATGCAAAAAATAGTTCAACAAATATACAAATTCAAAGAATTAAGATTATAATTCTTAAGATTATAATTCTCAGAGAGGATGAACTCAAAGAGAGAAGATGAACTCAGAGAGAGGAGAGAAGAAGATGAACTCAGAGAGAGGAGAGAAGAAGAGGAACTCAGAGAGAGGAGAGAAGAGAACTTAGAGAGGCTTGAGGAAAGCCTAAGAGAGAGAGGGAGAATTCGACCTTGGTTGAAGAAGGAGGAGGTTGCCCTTATATAGAGGAGGTTCCTTCGGCTCGAAGCAAAGAAGAGGGGACATAAAGGTAAAGTAAAAGAGGACGAGACGTAAAGGTAAGTGAGGTGACATAAAATAAAAAACGACAAAAGGAAAAGCATCTTGCTACAGTATTTTTTTGTTTTTTCTGTTAATAGCCATAGTAAAAGCATCTGGCACAGTGCTTGTTTTGTCCTGTTGTGTCGGTGCCACAGTTTTTCTTGTCCTTTTGTGTCGGTGTAGAATCTTTGTACGGTCTTTATGCAGTGGTCTGTCGGTGATGAGATTGGAAGGGAATCTTTATGTCGGTGACGATCTTCTTCTGTATTGGTGGTGATCTTTATGTCGGTGATGATCTTCTTTTGTATTGGTGGTTATCTATGGTCGTTGACTGAACTCATCCGGATCGTTTTCATCTTCGTCTGGGTCAGTTTCTTCCGGATCTTCTATTGGGAGATTGAGGTATTGATTAATATGCAAGGGAGAGGATTGTACTGTTTCGTCAGAGGAGACTGGCTTTCTCCCTACCTCAGCAAATATTTCTTTCATCTGGTTTTCTAATGTCTCTTTTGAGGCATTAGGGTTTACTTGCAACATATTTCTTAGGTATGTGGGAAAATCAAAAGAAGTATTGGCTGTATTCTGGCTTTGGGTTTTATCCAGGGGTTTTGGAGGAATTCTTTTTGGAGTAAGTGAGGATGGGTCCATATTAAAGATGTCCCACCATTTAACGGAAATGGTCTTTCCAAGTCTAGGTATATAGGTGTAATCAGAGGTGGTATC